AGGCCTGAAAGGCCTATGAAGCGGTATATAAGTCTACTGCTATTGCTATTGCTATTGCTATTGCTATTGCTATTCTCTTTGATTCCTAACATTTTAGCAGATACTCTCTAAACATTTTCAATATTGTTCACAAATCCCCAAAACCAAAATCTTGCTTTCTTAAATAAGAATTACAGTGTTTTGGATATACTTAGATGTTCTAGCCAGTCTAGAATGTAATGTAATTGTAATGTAATTTCCTTCAGACAGCGATTGCCCAACTTTAAAGTTCATAACTTTAGTATTCAGCACTGATATTCAATAAAAAATTAAGAAAAAACAAATACTTACTCTTAACACACTGTGGAACAGAAGGATTCCATTCACTATTAGCATCACAGTAAATAGTTGAAGACCCTACCAAAGTGAAGCCAGGACTGCATTCAATGAATATGCTATGCTGATATGTATATGTTTCACGAGACCCATATGGCATTCTCCCATTTGGGATGTTTGGTCGAAGACACTTGACCTCTGGAAAAGAAGACACCATTTAATTTGGAAGTGTTCGCACCAAATAACCAGGTGTCCAGATGATCAGTAGGAGGGCAAGTGAGAAAATAGGGATTAAGTTATTGTCACACAAATATTGTGACTTACGTAGTACAGAGTCTCCTTGTGGGAGAGATGGACAGCATAGAATTTTAATAAATAAAAATAATATTTCTGTCACAGAATGAGAAACAAGTACATAACTGTGACATGTATGTAGTGACATAATCATGAGATGTAATTATGGTTGGTTGCCAGTCATAGGAATTTTAAGCTTGGAAACTATTATTTGCTTAGCTTTGAGCAAAACATATAATCATCTAACAATGGCTCTACTTTATTTGCACAAAGCAAGATTAAATGGATACAAGGATAATTTACCCGCAGCTTCAAATAACTGAACCAAATGTATAACTTGTATTATAAAAGTGTAATACGGCCAGCCAGTGAGATAAAGTGTTTTATATTAGGATCAAGGAGTTCACCCTAAGTCACAGAAGCTAACTGCATAACTTTGAGCCAGAAACCTACTTTCAGAACAATCTGTTTACAGGACTGTTGTTATAGAAAAAAATAAGCATATAATATGTAGGGTCCTGAAACAGAGGTAGAATATAATTCTAGTGACTAAATAATCTACAGCATTTAAGAAAGATTCTAGAGTCCTTCAATTGAGAACTAATAAAACAAATATTTGGCATCAAGATAAAAACTTTAGGAGAATATACTTTATTTACAAAAGCAAGTCAAAATAAATACAACTTTTCTCCATCACTTTTGAAAAATCTTCTGAAAGCAATGTATGAAATAATATTAACCAGCTATGCCACATTCTTTAATAATATTATTTCCAATAATATTATTAATTGTACCCAACAAAAATATAGCTGAGTTGTGGTGGTGCTATATGGCTAAGATATGTGGCTAAGAACAAAGCTAGCAAATGTGGGTGGTCATAATGCATTCACTTATAAGACTTGTGGTGTTATTGAGTCTAATATCTAGCTTACTAGCATGACAGCTGTAAAGCAATAAGGGTAGTATTCTGCTGCAGAATAGACCAGCCCTACTGCTGATATTCTGAGAATGGCAGCTGAAGCTCTACATGGTTTCACTTAAATTTGGAAGTATGTTGTTCTTGATATTGACTTTTGCATGTGTAATAATGTCATTTGACTAAAAGATATTACCCAATGTTTTATCTTGTTACATTAGAAGGAAACAAAAGCTAAATTACTTTTATTTACCTCCAAACAATTAACACAACAAGGCCAATCCAACTCAATGGGGTTATTACCAAATCTGAATACGATTAATAGAATAAATTATTCAAACTATGTTTGTGTTTCTTTCAATACTTCCCTGGTGGAATTAGTTTCAACTGGATAATTCCCATTTGGTAATCCATAGCAGCCAAGTATTTAGAAAACAAGATTATCGGATTCCAGAAATAACATACTTAATAAATGGAAAACAACAAAAGAAGCAAATTTACAGACTAAAAGTAAGGCAAATAACATAAATTCCATTACTTTTGCATTCGGGTGGAGATGAATCCCATATTCCATCTCTACCATTTTCTGCAACTTTACATGCAATAGTTGATTGTCCAATAAGGGAGTAGCCAGCTTTACACCAATATGTTACTGCTGAGAACACATGGTATTCACCTGAAGATCCACCCTCATAATCTCCATTGGCAATTAAAGGAGGGCTAGTACAAAAAATACCTGGAAAGAAAATCAACACTGATTCAACTAGTCTAGAATTGCAAAGCATCTGGATTTAAATTACTACATAGTATAAATGTTTAGCTTGAATTAATTGTCTGAACTCATCAGATAAATGCAGATATTTGGAATACTTTTTAATATCAACCAAAATACCAAAGTCACTTTTCTGGTGCCATGAATAATATTCATATCAAATCAATATCAAGGGTTCTATTCACATTTCAGGAAACATTCATTGTTTAACCTTCAGTCCAGCAACATTGTGATTTGAGGGGAAGGATACAGCTAACTACAGCATGGATATTCTGCCTCATATTCTTTGAACTAGTTCCAGTAGTGGTGTCAGAGAACAAGCTCAAGCTTAGGGGCCCTAGATGGTGTTATTTAGCGATCACATGAAGCCATGTGAGGAGAGGATGAATTATTTATCAGCATATGATCAGATATTATCAGCATGCATATTGAACTTAATTTTATGTGTTCAGTAGAGGCTCTACAGGTGATGTTGCTATCCTATGCCTGGATGCCAGAAGACGTGGAAAACGTTTAAGCAAGATGAAATAACTGCATTCAGAAGCCTTTGATTACATAGGGAAAAATCATTTTTAGTCAAGGATACTTCATAATCTGGGAAGCACGTCTCCTCAAGGAACATATGGCACCTGTGACTAGTAGAGCTTTCCACAGTGTCATATTATGTGTCAGTTTCAACATCTCTTGGAAAAGGAGATTCTTCTCATAGTCACTCATGCATACTTTAAAAAATCTCTTGGTTGAGCTATTGTAATACATGGTATATGTCCTTGAAAATCACCAAGAAGTTATAGCTAGTAAAAATGTAAATAGTTATGGGTGTATCTCATTTTGTCAATATAACAGACTACTTTGAGACCTACCATGCAATGAATTGTCATTATTAAAGTCCCATCTAACTTATGACCTGGGTACCTTCAGAAATGCTACTCCAATAATTGCCTAAACAACGAGATCTGATGCCACTCATGTGGAGCAGCATTCTCCCCGACTAAAGATGAGAATGGCCCCAACTATGAACACCTGGCTATTCCTGCAGTTTTAGGGAATTGGAATATTGTAGTGTTGTTTTTTTCTTGTAGTGAAGTGTTTGGTAAATTATTGTGATTCACATTCCTTGCAGTATTGGCTGTTGCTGTGTTTTATGTTACTGCTTTTCTTTTTATTGTAGAATTTTCACCTGGTTTTGGAACGTTAGATATGTATACCATATACCACTCAGACAATGGAGGAAAAATTACAGTAGATAAATTATGTTGACATAATTTATTTAAGCATTTCCCATATTTATAAGTAAGCAGAACTATTCCGCTAAAGACTAGGCAGGCTGAACTTTTGCTATTAAGAAGTTAAACATAAAAGCACCAAAAGAAGCTTAATAAGCTTAAATAAATTATCATCTTACTTTTGCAATATGGAAGACTTCTATCCCAGTCAACTTTGCCAAATCTCAAAACACATCGTAAGGTGGGAGAACCTATCAGTATATACCTGAAAAAAAAATTTTTTAGTAAATGAATTATTAAAACTGTACAGATTATTTAACCATGGAGTGTTCAGTTTCAATGTCTCAAAATAAGCCGCAATAGCCTGAAATCACAACATGATGATTCCAATCAAACCCAATCACATTATGATGTATTGAAATGTAGGACGCCAATCATTATAATACTCTGGTCCATAGTTGCCTAGTAAGAATCTGAAGGAGCATATCATGAGAACTTGATAGGTGCTGTATTCAAGAAATGTTCATTTTGCTCTTTTGCCAAGACTTTTATTCTTATTTCAAACAATTCTGATAAAATTAGAAAAAAATTATTTGAAGAACTAAATAAAATGATATTAAAATGTATTTGGTAAATGAAAAAAAGCAAGAATAAGATTGAAACTGCTACAAGATATTAAACACAAAGTGGGCTTTGGGTTGCCAGACTGGGAGCTATACTACCAGGCCTCTGCACTTGTCTGGAATAAAGAATGGGTAAATCTGAGACATAAAAGATGATTAAAGTTGGAGGGGCATGATCTCCAATGGGGGTGGCATGCTCTTCTCTAGTATGGCAAAAATAAAATACATGGATACTTTCAAAGACATTTTATTAGAAATGCATTATTGTTAGTATGGGGGAAAGTCAAAGAAAGACACTATATGAAAATATCAGTCTGGCTGTCCACAATGGAGGGACTGATACACCTGAATGTGATTAATGCAGGAAAAATTGTAAGGTATAAGGATATTTTGAGTGACAAAGGAAAACTCAAATCTATCAGTTAAGGGATTGATTTAGCATGGTGGCCACATGTGCAAATACAATCAAGATATGAATAAGATGCAAGAATGTATGGATTTTTTTTATAAAGAACCAATGGAACTTGACCAGATATTACTAAGCACAGATGAAAAATTAATTTTTAAAAATGTATAGCTATTTATTGAGTATTTAAATGGAAAAAGAACAAGTGAAATAAACAATGATAAGATGGGCTAAATTTTTTGGCTATCCAATACAATTAGATCAATGGCTTTTCTTGGCTTTACAGTAATTATTGTCTCTCCATTCCTTTACCAAATAGCTATTTTCAGCAAAAGAAGCAAGGTCTCCCACTTCAGCAATTTCAACCATTGCATCATAATCAGTGGTGGGCTTCAAAATTTTTAACAACCGGTTCTTTGCTCTAATGGCAGGCTGGGTGGGCATGGCTAGGTGGTCATATGACTGGGTGGGTGGTACCAACCAGATATCACTCACCCGCCCCTCTCAGCCACTCCTTGCCACTAGAGAGCACACTGTTAGGGATAGATAACTAATCCTGGCTGGTTTCGTAACCACAGCCAGGCAGATATGCAGCTGGTCCGGCTTCATGCCTCTATTTGCACATTAGGCTAAGCTCAAAAAAAGTTGTGAAACTAGCCGTTTAGGCTTAGAGAGCTGCATAACCCCCAATACAGGCCTTTGGGGATTGTGCATTAGCATGTCCGCATCTCAATGCCATCCAACCTCCTTTTGTGCAAATGAATAAAAACCTATTTTGTGCTCTGGCGCACCAAGACTGGGAGGGGCATGTGGGGTAGGCAGAGCCAGCCATTTGTGATTCACCAAACAGCGCAGAATCTTAGCTAACGGTATGCCCGAACTGGTGCGAGTCTGCAGAAACCCAGCTCTGATCAGAATGATACAGAATTACAGTATATATTAATATTGCCTTAAATAATTTCATCAGTCAACCTGTTTTATTTTAAGTTACTTTTGAAAGACTTGTATCTTAACGAATAAAAACAAATAATTATAATATATAGTTCACAACTGAGATTTTTACTATTACTATTTAATGATACAATACATGTTTATCAGTTGTCCCCAAATATATTTTCACAAGTTGCTTCAACAAATGATCTGTAACTTACCCTTCATTGCAAGAAAAGGTTACTTTATCTCCAAGCAAGAGGCCATCTGTGGATTCCATGTTACCAAAATCTATAGATGGGGTGGTACAGCGTCTTCCTAAAAGATCAGAACTGATATTATCATCTGTTATCCTTGTGATTCTTAAAACAAAATAAACACAGAAGCATAGAAAATGGTATTATTGTAGCTTCTCTCTTTATATTGCATTGTATCAGTTGTTTTGCCCTGCAGAGCTGCTTTGTAAGCTATTAGCAATAGCAATAGCAGTTAGACTTATATACCGCTTCATAGGGCTTTCAGCCCTCTCTAAGCGGTTTACAGAGTCAGCATATTGCCCCCATAGT